TGTGGGTCAGTTTCGATTTGGCCCTGAAACTGGTTCAAAAACCCATTTTGACACCCCTATCTTTTATGAGTATTTTCGACGTTACAGACTCAACGACAAAGTCTGTTTTGTGAATAGACGACATTTGGGCAATATTGTATAACGTAGCGTTTGTAGTCCGTCAATTTTTATCATCTTTGCTTGATTCGGTTACGAGGGGTTCCCCTTTGATAAATTCAATGCTCTGATTTTATCAGCACAATTCGTTTGGCGGTTAGAAGTCGTTTGGAGAGTTTTGCATAATGTAGCACCTACTAACTGTCACTTTTGTCACTTGGTTGAGCCGATTTTCATGCGAGCGGTTTCTATCTGGCAAATTTTACATTCTAAATGCATTAATGCAGTCCATTTCACACTCAGGTGAAGTTTGAGTGGTTTCGACAACGTCAGGCCCGCCAACAATTATTGATCGTCCTCCCATTTGCTTGCATTGATCATGACACATATATGGAGGTCAGCACTAAAGGGATACCAAATAATCTGAAAAGAATTGTTGTAGTATCAATATTAAATGATAAAGGAGATGTTCATGATTATACTAAATTTTGGGGCTCAAACTTATGAATCAGACAATCAAATTATGGGAGGGTATTGGAACAATTGATCTATGATATTTTGGAATCTTACTCTATAATTTATATGCAATCAACTAATACAACAAGCAAACTTTTATTGAAAACAATATGATCCTAACTGATTGTTTTAGTATTTTTGATGAAAGCTAAAAAGTAAAAGAAAATCTTATTAGATGAAAAGATTTTTGGACTTTTAGTAGAAATAATGATGAGAGAATTAATGATCATGAAAGTCGTGTACTTAGTTATTTAGTTATCGAAATTTCAAGCTAGCAAGAATGGAGGAGGAAGATAAGTAGTCATCGATTGCTAATCCTTACACTTGAATGAAGGGATAAAAATAATTTGCACATCCAAATAAATTTTATCAAGGCATTGAAGTTTTTTTATTTTTTTTATTTTTAACATACCTCTAGGAAAAATTTTAAACTTCATGATACTCTAAATTGTATACTTAAAAATTTCCATGAGAAGCCACCCAAGGAGAAGCGCAAGGAAGACAAGAAAAGTAGTCGCAACGAGTGCCCAAACCAAAGCTAAAGATTGTGAAGGAAAATGCTAATACGTTAGTTCTCTATGTTTTGAAATTATTTGCTTTAATGAATGTTTAAGTTGATTTCTTCCAATATATCTAGGCATAGTTTAAATTTTCTAAAAGAGATATCAATGAATCATTGCATGTTGGGCCTCTCACGCTCTTTCTCAATCCGCTCATCTTCCACTTTTAATCAATAATAATAAGAAAAGAGAATTATACACGTATGTTCGCCCACACACACAAAAATCTTATATTTAACATGAGATCACCTCCTCTAAAATGCACGAAGTTTCATACTTGATCAATGATTAGAATCTTGAAAGTTGAATAAAAAATTTTCATATCTATAAGAATATTTTAATTAAGCAATATGAGTGTTTTCTTACTTGTCTTAAAAGTTTTATTTATAAAACTCATGAGCTCAAGGAACACTTGAACTACAGTCACAAGGAACATTGAACTTTGGGCTAAAGCATTGGAAGGAAGCTTTACAATTCTGCAATCGAAGGTTCTGTCAGCCATAGGATCCACAAAAATGAAAGTCTGAGAAGCTGGTAGTTGAATAAGCCCATAATAAATAGGGTCTTCTTATAAAAATTAGAGAAGTCTCAACATAAATAAATTTAGAATAAAAGTTCGAAATAGTCCCCCGACTATTGATAAATGCTCAAATTAGTTCTAGAGTTTCATATTGTCCTAATTTGGTCTCTCAACTATTAAAAACTATTCAAGTCGGTCCCTGGGTTAAATTTGGTGTTTAAATTATTGGAAAAAGCTAGGGAGCGTCGCTTCTTTCTGGGCATTTAGGTAAAATTACTTATTACATGCTTGCCTTCCCGCTATAAGTCCTAGAGATCGAATTGTGCCAGGGAGAAGCTGTGAACAAGGAGACGTGAGCGGGTTAGGGCGACATGAGCGAGCAGGCCGTGAGCGAGACGTACTGTGGCATGCTTCGATTCACATTATGGATTCATGTGCGGCTGCGAGAAAGACGACACGTCGCAAGCGAGACACCCTGCGGGGCTGTTTGGATAAAGGAAGTACCTTCACAACGAGCAAGCTCTCGTTGTTACTTTCAATCCTACAGAAGAACAGTGAGGTGTGACTTCGAATCCGACAGGAAGGAACGTGTTAGACCGGTCCACTGGACCGGTCCAGCCGGTCCGCACGGGACCGGCTCAGACGCGAAATGTCGCGTGATCTCCGCCTCCTGCGGAGATCGAGCGGCCCGACCAGCCGAAGAGATCATTTTAGGAAGCGTTTTTTAGCGTTTTGAGAGGGAAATTTGAATGTAGGGACTGTTTAGGGATTTCCTTTTGATTTGTATGCATTAAATAGTAGATTTTCCTAGGGTTTGGGCATCTTGAATTTGGCTGAAATTTGAGATCTCGTAGATTTAGGATTTCTTTATTTTTTAAATGATAAAACTGAGCAATATAAACAATATGATCTCATATCCACTTGTAGTTTATAAAATATCCTTCATATTTAACTTTGAAGTTAACTTTAACTTGTACTTGAGACTTTGGGATTAATTTGGCTCAATTTTTAATAGTTGAGGTTTTAAATTGGAGCAATGCGAATTTCTGGGAATAAATTGGACATTTTTCAATAGTGATTATTTTGAGTTTTTACTCATACATTTAAAAAATGACATTGATATCAGACTAACAATTTAGTGCTAGAGCAAGATGTCTATTATAGTGCAGACTTTTGTGTTGAAGTTAATGGAAAATTATAATGAACAAAAAAGAGATCTTGATATGTTCTTGATTGATCTTAAAATATTATGCCTTGGAGTATTGTCCTGAAGTAGATGAAATGATGAAAGTCTTATATCTCTTTTGGTTGTTACTTGAATCAAGATGATAGATGCAGATCATGCAATAGTGGGTTAAAAGTTTTTGAGCATCCTTGTGAGAACAATATTGTCTGAAGCTTCTCATTTGATGTGTTTGGCATCGTCTATCTCTTCGGGTAGTGGGGAGTTGAGATGGTTGAGTTTCTTATGAGATTTCACGAGAAAATGGAAATCTCTTAACCACACAAGATAGTATCATTGAGCTTGCTAGATGTATCAATAAGTGATCAGAGTTTTATCTCTGGGAAAGGAATGGAATTCATGGTGAAAGCTATCATGTAAAGAAAAAAAAAGGTAAGTTAAGCTGTCATATCTAGGGTAAATAAGGCATGAATTATTGTTGCAAGAAGTGTTTCTTCCCGAGGGACAATATCAGCTGCGACAGGGTTGTTTTTGCCTGTGTTGTAGGTGGAGGGGTTTTTTAGCTGTGGTGGTAGGTGAGATTGAGCACAAACAAGTGCAAACAAGTGGGATGCAATTGATTGTGGGGAAGGGAGAAAGAGGAGCAAGTGTGGGGTGATCAATGGGAGAAGGGAAAAAGGGGTAAAGCACGGGTAAGAGAGAAACCCTGCTTTGTTGCTATGTCAAAGGAGAAAGCTCCTTCCTATATCTTTCATTTATTTGATGATCTGTCTATTCATAATAGGGAAATGAGTACAAATTTTAAAGGAACAATCAAATAAATGTACAACACTCACTAAATATGTATGATTTGTCTAACTTGATATTTGTCCATGCTAACAAACTTAGTGAGTTAAAGCTAAGGATTATAATAATTGATAAATTTTTCATAAGTGCTATGAGATAAGCAGTATTGATCAAATTTGAGTTTTATTTGAGTATAAATTTCTTAAAACTAAAATGCAAAGATTTTGCTATATTAACGGGCTATAAAAACTTTGTTCATAGCTAAGTGGAGTGGGGTGAAAAATGAGAATTTTAAGGTTTCTTGTCAGTAAAATTAAAAAAGATAGTGAAAATTGATTATATTACAGAAATTGTGAAGTAGGACCTGTTCAAATAAAATATTAAAACTAGATAGATAACAGGAAAAACATAAACACATTACAAGTCAATAGATGTACGAAAAAAAAACAGAGAAATCTGGGTTACAGGTTGAACATTATATATGTAGATGTGTGTGTATGTCTGTGTTGAATGATTTTAGTAATGCAAGTCAAAATTGTAAGAACTTTTGCTAGAGTTGGGTATTAAACAAGACCCACTTAAACAAATGAAGCTTTATTTGAGTTGGGTTCATTACTTTTTCTTATTTTTTGTGTTTGGTAGCTCGTTATTGTTTTTCTTGTCCATGATTAAGCTCGCAAATAGTTCATGAAGGTGGATTTCAACTCAATTCTCCTATGCAGAAGTTGTTTAAAGCCCACGGCAACTACACCATGGTTCAGTTTGTGAATGGGTTCCACCAAAATTTATATATATGAAAATTTAACATAGAAGAAAGAAAACCAAGCAAAAGGATTAGCCAGAAGAAATTAATGCTTGTGTTTTAATCGAAAGGCAAACGTCTGTGCTTCAAAAAACACTCGAATGTGCATAGCACTCTTGGATGAACTGACTGCTTTCCTTCTTAACCTTGTGGTACAATGTGCTATTATTTCGTAAAATGCAAGCCTATCAGTCTGGTGCTTGTGATCAAATCTTCCTTTTATGTTTCTTCACATGAAAGTTTGGCTGATTCATTCAGATTGACATTAGCCTTCTGGCACCAAATTTTGTATGCCTAATGTTCCAAATAATACTTTTAGTTCATCATGGGTATTATAGAGTTAGGCTTCGTTTGAGATGATTTTCTTACCGCTTCTTAAAGCAGCTTTTTAGTATAAAAATTTATTAAAAAACTACTTTAAGAAACAGTAAAAAAGCCGTCCCAAACGAAACCGTAATCTGTCTTTGTATTCTGCGATTGAATAATGAATTACAATGGCAAGATGACCTTCCCACCTTTTTATTCCCTTTAATGCAGGAATTGGACAAGGTACTACATTATGTACCCCCTCCAGAACCAAAATACAGGCTTCGTAGAACAAGCTCGGCCCTCTTCTAGCTTTATGATAATACCAATGTGGTGCAGATTTGCTTCTGGTTTCATCCTGTTATACCGTACTAGCGCATGAACTGCTTCAGCTACTGAGGTTCGCTTTTGTGCTGCTTTTCTTTGTTTGTTTGTTGTTGTTTTGTTGACCGAAACTTAGTGTAAATCCTTTTTAATCGATCTGCCATACTTCTGAAAAACAATACATCATTGTATAAAATCATTGTCTTCCTTTTTCATCATAATACTATCCTTTTTTTAAATAAATATTATTTCATCATAATACTATCCTTTAATATGTTTTCTCAAATATGTTATTAACTGATAAGAATGATATTTGTTTCTTCTAACATAGCAATTGATGCCCTGTGACGAAATCAAATTCAGATATTTTCATCATTTCATTTAGTCTTTGAGAGGTTTCATTTTCTTCTTTGAGAACTTACCAGTGTTTCTATTAAATGGAAATCTTACTGGCCTGTTTGTTGCATTAAGAAAAAGAAAAAAACTTTTACTTCATATTTGCTCATCCTAAATGATATAAATTTATTTTCTTATTAAAATAATTCTGTTTTTCCAATAATATATCAATGATTCAGTGATTCAAAGACCTTCCTAATCTCATGAGGTTGATTATTTTGGCTTTGTTTGGGACAGTATGGAGACTTTTTTGTTTCTACAACAATAACGAGCTTTTTTTTTTACTAGGAAGTTGCTTTTAGAAAGCAGCTAGGAAGCTGTCTCAAACAAAAACTTAATTGAGTTACATCATCAATTCAAACAACATGAACATTGTGCTTCATCTTTATATCAGCTTAATTTTATTCTTTTTTTTTTC